TGTGTGTTGGTCCGACTGATCACTTTTGATAGCCCTCAAGAAAAATCCTGCTTGGTCTTTTACACCATTCTTTGAAAGACTAGGAATAAGATCCTACATGTCAAGTTACAGCTGAACCTAAAAGCTGGCTGAAGTAATTTTACTACCGCAAACTGCTGCATGAAGTTATAAATTAAATGTTGCAGACCACGGTTAACTCCACTGAAAGTTTGTTTGCATCTGAGGAAAGAATAGGTATCTTTTTGACCATCCCACCTTTTCATCCTCAGATCTGTTATATATGGTTTAGACTACAGAAATTATCCATGTCACTTTTTTCTGTGGATTAGAGTATGTTGTATGTCATGTCTTGTATTTTGCTTTTACCTGAGAGCAGCCTGGATGCTTGACAGGTAAAATACATGAAGTGGGATTTTGTTGTGGTTTTGGGTTTTTTATTTTCTCAAATTATAGTGCAAGCTCTCTGATTCTAGTAGTTTCATGCTACCAATTTTATGGCATAAATTCTAAGCTATGTTTCTCAAAATACCCAGGTTAAATTTTGTGTTATGTGAACTTCTCTTAGGGATCTGATTGTGTTGGTTTTGAAAGTATGTAAGAATAAGGCTCTGAAAAGTGTTGGAGTCCTTTTATATAGGAGTTTTATGTTCTACTTTTATTCCAGTCTTCCTTGCACTTATGCAAAACTACCAGGTGAAATTGGTGTGTGCTCCTGGGTGGAGCTTGCTGTGGCTGTATGCAGTGGATTTGTTCTCCTTTGTCTATAGAGCAAATTTAGTCCCTAGTTAGAAAGAGCAGATAGTTGTGTACAATGAACTTCTGGTAAATTGTGAACTTCTTGTTTTACACGTTTCCTTTGTCAGAATGATCGTGATCCTCGCTTGAGAGAGAGAGCAGTTGCCAGAAATTCTCTGTTAGACCAATATGGCAAGATCCTTCCCACAGTTCAAAGGAAGCTGGCAGTAGAGCGAGCCAAGCCGTACCGTTTGCCTTCGTCGGTCTTAAGAGAAGGTAATTTTAGAGAAGGGAAACACAATGTGCAGCTGGCCATCACTTGGATTACACAAGGCTGATACTCTTCCCTCTTGCTTTACAGTCCCAAGGCCAAAGCCTTTATCCACAGCAACAAGGCAAGCTAATGCAGGAAATGTACATACAAGAACAAGTTTCATTGCTAAAGTACTGTCCAGACTTAAAGAAGCATGGCTAGGAAACAAGAAAACCAGTTTCTCAGAATATTATAAGTAAGCAGCTTTTCCACAAATTTAGCCTTGTTCTGTGTTTCTGAGGGGAGAGAAAAAGGACAAGAGAAATTTGTCTGAATTATGTTAGTGTCTTGGTGGGAAGGTACACATGAATACAGCTTTGCTTTGCTTTTTTGCACATAAAACATGTAGCATTTGAGACACAATTCATCCTAAGTAATACTTGGAGAAACATATTTTTCTGCTATGATAATCTTAGTTATGCAAATACATGTATTTACATTATGGGACATGTGCTTACAGAGTTTAAGACAGCTGAAACTAAAGCTTTGTTTTAGCAAAAACAGCTAAAAAAGCAGCTTTTTAAAACTGCCACCAAGCTGTTGGTGTACAGACTTTGATAGACAAAAAGTGCCTGCCACTTTCATGTGGGCCTAATATGTCATCCTAGCAGTGAGGGTTCATCTGTATTTCTTGTTCACTGAATGTTTTTGTTCTGCAGTATCTGAGATGATCACAGCATGCTTTGTTTCATTTATTTATTGGTGTTCCTAGTTTAAAATGTGTATTTTAACAGGTTGCTGGATTTGGTGGTTCGTCCTGTTTCTTCCTGCACTGTGGCACAAGAGGAGAGCCAGCAGTCCCCGTGCAGGGCTTCTACTTCTTCTGTGGCATCCAGCCCCCTGAGATCAAATACACATCGCTCCAGCTCCCAAAAGAATCTGCGAAGGGCATCAGAGTTGAATTTACTGGAAACTCCTCTTGTGGTCAAGGTTTGTATTTTAAAAAGTCAGTAGCAGCCAACCAAACCAAAAGCTTGTGAGCTTTGTTTAAGATTAAATCCCTGGATTCAAATTGTGAGATATTTTTAGCATGCACGTAGTTATGCTATGCACAGTCCTTTTCCAAGCAGTGAAATGGGAACCAAAGGAAAGTTTAATTTTCAAATAATTGCAGCGGTGACCTTGTCCCACAGCTTTGAGAAATACACTTTTTATTACATGGAACAAAGCAAGTTGAACCTGAACTTTTCAATCTATACTTAGCAGCTTAAAGATGCAATTTGTGGCTTAACCATGACAGTATTTAAGTGCTGAGTAGCTTTGCATAGTTTGATTTCCGCTTCTACAACCAAGAACTGCATGCTTCAGACTCTTAATCCAGTCACATGAATGACAACTAAGCAATGTCAGTGATGTCAGTCTCTGTCATATTCAGTGATGACTCTCAGCAGTAGTTTTGCTTATCAGTTGTTTGTGTTAAACTGTATTTCCAGTCACTGGCATCAAACTGTTACCATGCAAGGCAGTAACACCTGACATGGGCCCTTGGTTCTGCTCTTTTTGCTTTTGCCTACCTGAATGAAATCATTGCCATCTCCCTCAGTTATAACCTTTTTCTTGTTATGAAATACCATCTATACTATTGAACTAGCTTTATCCCTCTAACTCTTTCAATATTGTAAAACATTTCTGACCCAGGAAGACCTGAACAGTGCTACATGAAGAGATGTATTTTTACAGCACTTTACAGTCCTTCTATCTTGTGTGCAGATTGATTAATTAGTGCAGAAATAAGATGTGGCTGTTGCTCTGTTGCCTGGCATCTGGAATACAGTAATTGAAAATGCTGCCATGTGGAGTAATGGTTGTGTGCCTTTTAAAAGAGCAGTGTAGAAACTGCAAAAATTACTGGGATAGAAGCGAACATTGTAGACAACAAGATAGTATATTCTTGCTTCTTCAGGAAATTTGAAAAATTAACTTTCTGTTGTCATGACTGAAGTGTTTTGTTTATTGGGGACCCAATTGTATTTTACCCTGTTGGAGGGCAAATGGTCAGTTCTGAACAGATATATCAGAAACAGAGCATGTGAATTGCACACAGGGACTGCACTGATCCCTGCGCCTCAAACACAAACTCTCAGCTGTAAGCTAGTACAGAGTAGGTATGTATGTTTCACATTCAGGGGTGAGCAGAAAGGAAAATCAACATTTCAGTGTTTTCATCTAGCTCAGAGTGAAATTAGTCTGTACTGAATAAATCATTGACAGACATCTTTTAACTTTAGGTTATTGAAGACAGTGCAGTGACAGCATAAACTTGAGAAGCAGCACCTAAAACACCACCATATAGTGAACTACATCCATAAAGCAATCTTAATACAGCTATGATACTATAAAGCATCAATTTGTAAGTGATTTGCCTCAGAATAATAAAGGGGAAGGTGATGCAGCTGAGGGAGATAGAGACTTCCATGACCTTTATGTATTTTAGAGTAATTTCATGGTTTTTACAAGTTCTACTGATAGAACAAAAAAAAGCCTCTACACAGAAACAAAATTTAATGTACTCACACTCTTGAAAATTATGAAGGCTGCCTTTCAAATATTCCTGTGACTCAATGCTTCCATTGCCCACAAATGCAAACCCAGAAATCAGACAGCAGGACAAGACACTCTCATAATTCTCATGGTAACAGCAAAAACCAGGCTTATCAACCACAGTAATGAGTAGTGTGAAACAGGCCAGTGCACCCAGAACCTGGATCACATCAGGTCAGATTCCAAAAACAATCAACAGAACAAGCCTCCTTCTCTACAGAAGCAAAAGCACAATACAGTTCATGACTACTTACCTAACTACAGAAAGTAGATAGATCTGCACTAAGAACAATTATTAAATAAAGGAAAGATTAATTGAAGATGTTAATAAAGACATAAACCAAGCACACATGAAGGGTAACTAGTAGCTCCATCTGCTAAGGCACTTGTGTTCCCAGGCTGCCTGCTTTACATAGCTGCAGAATGGGGCAAAGCAAGACAGCTATGGTTACTTGTGAAGCAGATGCTATAGTGGGTCCATGAAGTAGGAACTTAGATGAAGGAGATTAAAATTCCAGAATTAGTACCCAAGAAGTTACCAATTTAATATGTTGGTGAATTAACACTCAATACCCACCCTTTAGGGGTTTGCTCACTATAGCAAATACTACTATAGCTTTTAATTAAAATTTTCTTCTGTTTCTGCTGCAAACAATAGCACAGTGAAACTGTTTTATGATTAGGCCCTTGCAGCCAAATGAGTTTTATTAGAGTTAGACCCAGGAAAGGTGTTAGTTCATACAGTTATGTTTTGACTTCAGACTTCAGGCTTGCTAATAACAGAGAACTCAACACCACGCTTGTTGAGGCGATCAATCAGTTTTGTTTTGGAGAAGGCGGCTCCTGGAGAATATACACCACCCCTGTTAGTGAAAATCAAAAAGGAAAAACATTAGTGGCACAGTGATTGAGGAACACCTTTCTCTGAAGCTAGAGATGTGCTTCCCTGCCTGCCTAAGAAAGAAAAAGCCACTTTATCTGAGAAGAGAATGGGTTAGGAATTTGGCAGGGTGATTATACCCATAGGTTAATTTCTGCATCTGCATCTATATAAGCACTATAGAAAACCACTTCATTAACTGAACATAAAGAAATTGATGCAAAGGCCTGACTAAAAGCGTATGACTACCATCCTTTCAAACTGATGGGCTGGTGAAGAGAAAGTGGCTTTAAATCAGCCAGTTAGATGAGGTAACACAAATCCACAGGACTGATTAACTGTATTTTCAAAGAGAAACATTTGCACACAGTGGCTTTAAGGGAGAGCAAGCTGCTCAGCATGGGAAGGTACTTACCGTTTAGGCAGAGAAGCAGCATCTTCCAGGAGAGACAGACCTGCTTGAACCATTGCAATTGGTGTAGCAATATACCCAGGCTCTGACAAAAAAAATAAACCAAAGCAAAACCCCCCAGTGAAATACAGTGTGTTGAAATGTAGAATGTAATCCTGCTCTTCCCTACAGCATTCTGAAGAATAATGTCTTTGGCAATGAAACAGCTTTTTCCCATTTAAGAACAGCTTTTATTTACCTAGTAACCAGACCAAGTAGCAGGTGAAATCCTTAAGATCTAATCCAGACAAATACTGCTTCACATAAGGGCATCTAACCATACAACTGTGAGTGACCATATCATGGTGACAGAGGGCTCTCTGACACAGCAAGAGCTTTCCCCATCCTGTGCTTAAATTCAGAATTTTACCATGAAAGACTTGCATTCTGCCACATCTCTATTATTTAAAGAAGCTATGCTACAGTAACTCCTTTCTGAATATACATTCTTGCTCTCTCCAAACTTCAGGTGTTACCTCCCCCTCAAGGAATGACCAGAACAAAAGTATGTGATAGTTAGAAATTATACCACATCAGACCTGTTTAAGTTCTCTCAGGGAACTGGAAATAAACAAAGTACTAAGTAGTCTAGGCTGTAACAACTAAAAACTATCCCTAAAGCTCTCTTCCTTCAATAGGTCTGCTCTGCATAAATGAAAATTAGACCAGGAAAAGTCAGAGGAAATAGAATGACAAGAATACAAGTGATCTGGCTATTTCAAAAACCATGTCACAATGAATTCTAGTATCCAAATTAATACACTGTAAAGGCTGTTGGCTTTGTTCATGCTGCAAGTGCTTCTCAAGGGTGAAAGGAAAAGCAGTGCAATCATTAATGTATTTTAGAGCAGGGAATGGTAGGCAGAAACAGTCAGCTGCTACTAACACATACCTGGTCCTTTCACTTCAGTGCAGATCTTCACATTTGGTTTGCCATTCTGGGGATCTTGTCCCTCACTGTAACCCTCACCAAAAAAAGTCATTGTAAAAGAGGTTCCATCCATCTGCAGTGGACAAGAAAAGCATAGTCACCAGAAGAGAAACTGGTTGCTACCAGAAAAGCACAAGTAGTAGATATAAGTATCCAAATTCTATATATAGAATCCTGCCAAACACTCTAATCTATTTAAACATGAGAGGAGTTATTTTGAATTACTGCTTAAAAGGTATAATCTAAATTTTTAATTGCTTCCACTTTGTTGGCACTGTCCATGTACTAAAGTCTGTTCTCTCAGTACTTTCAGTCCTGGGTTTTTGCTAATCAGTCTCCCTTGGTCATCATCTTTGATAGAGTGCTCTGAGCCATCCACGGGAATACATCAGGCCCAGCAACATTATCCATTTATTCCTCATTGGAGTTACACCTGCTTTGATGTTTAAGACTAAAAGGCATTATTTAAATATGCAATAACTATCTGAACAGGCACACACAACATGTGTTTGGGCCTAGCAGGGAAGCTGTATGAGGAGCGGCTGAGGTCACTTGGTCTGTTCAGCCTGGAGAGGAGGAGACTGAGGGAAGACCTCATTGCAGTTAGAGCTTCCTTGTGGGAGGAAGAGGAAGGGCAGGCACTGATCTCTGTGGTGCCCAGTGACAGAACCCAAAGAAATGGCCTGAAGTTGTGTCAGGGGATGGTTAGGGTGGATATAAGGAAAAGATTCTTCACCCAGAGGGTGGTTGGGCACTGGAACAGGCTCCCCAGGAAAGTGGTCACAGCACCAGCCTGAGAGAGTTCAAAAAGCTCCTGGACAACACTCTCAGGGACATGGTGTGACTCTTGGGGTGTCCTGTGCAGGGCCAGGAACTGGGACTTTGATGATCCTTGTGGGTTTCTTCTAACTCAGAACATTCTGCGATTCATTTAGAAATTATTTCTTTGAGGCTAAGCAGTTGACACTGAATTTCTATTCCCCCTATATACAACAAATGCATTCTGTAACTGTGGTAGGAAACAGTCAGTCACCTGCTTCTGGGTTGGTCCTTTCTTTGTGAAGCGTCCAGCAGAGAAAAATTCCGGGTACTGTAGAGGAGAGAAAAAAAAGAAGACAAAAAAAAGACCGACAGTAAATTAGAGGAAAAAAAAAAAAAAGGTATCTCCAAACACTAAGTTGTCTTCTGTTTTAAAAACTTACTTTTGTCAGAAGTTTCCTTCCAAAGTTAAACTTCACCAGAAGAAGAAATAACATGCCCATAAACATCAGCTTGATAACAGAGCCAAGACCACCTATAGTCACATAAGCGCCATACTGGACCTGAAGCAAGAATGTATTTTCAGTGATGGGATTTACATTGCTTTTTTCATCAAGTGATTTTTATAAATCAATCTACCCCCTAAGCAAGATTCAGTTGTTTCATACAACATATATCAGTGTAAATAGGGCCTTGAACAATTGTCTTAGTTCTAAGGAACTGTTTGAAGAATGCTTCACTTTCTCATTCATTCTGGGAAGACAATGTAACTACAGAGTGAAGAGGGAACAGACATGGTAAACAAGAACAGAAAACTTTACAGAAAGATGTGTTTTGGTATCAAATTTCAGCCTTCTTTCCTAGACCTTCCTTTGTGTTTTTCTTAAAGAGAAATTGAAACAGCAATGGCAAGCCTATCTCATTTGCAGCTTCCAAGCATATTTTTAAAGCACTGTCTCACCCACATCACTTTACTGATGCCTGCGATTCTGCACAGCAGTAACACAGATTGTTGGTGTCCTCTCAGGAAATTAAGGAAAACAAAAATTAATCATCTTTTCCATCACCATTACTTCACACTGCTTTTACTCTGCACACTGGAGACCCAAGCATCAAACATATCTTAAGATATAAATGCAGCATATGAATTCTTTATCAGAATATTTACTACACTATCCTGAGCTGGCTATAGCTACCGTAGATGACAATTATGATGCTTTTAGAAGCTCTGCTGATACAACAAGGAAAGTCTCTGCACAGAAACAGAATTTAATACATTTATCATGAAGGCTACCTTTCAAATATTTCTGTGACTCAAGGTTTCTATTCCCCACAAATACATACCACCCAGGAAAACCTGACAAGACAACCTCGTAACTATCATGTTAACAGCCAAAGGCAGGCTGATCAGCCACAGTCTGAAGTAGCATGAAACAGGGCAATGCACATGGAAGACTCAGTTTACAGATAACAGTAACTTACAGGTGTTTGCTGCAACTCAGTGTGCAAATAACGCTGAGTCCTTTTCACAACAGAACCATCAGATCCCATGAATGTAAGGCAGTACTCCTTGAACTCTGGACTGTAAAACAAAAATCCTCTGCAAATGAAAAAAAAAATTAAGTCAGAAAAAAAATGTTCCAATCTTCACACAAACTGAAAGAAACTGACCATAATGGCCTTACCATTACCAGTTTTCTCTCATGAATTTTTGTGGCATTATCTCTTTTCACTGAATGCAAGCAATTCTAAATATATCCCTGGCTCATTCAAAATTC